TGGTGAAAGAAAAATGAAAGAAATATAAAAAAAATAGGTTTAATTAGTGTACAGATTGTACGATTAGCATTCAATTTTTTTACCAAATCTATTTTGATTTTTTTATGCTAAGAACATTTTCAATGCTCTTAGCATGTTGCTTTCGCCCCTGGCCCAGAGTATCAGTACTTCGTTTTAATTGGTTCATAAATCGAAAGTTTACTCCTACTCCATCTGCCGGACATTACCGTAATCATTGGATTATCGCCCCTACAAGTTGCTGATGCTAGTCATTAAATGAAAACCTTATCGACATTTTCTTCATTACTTGTACATCAAGAAAACGTTTTGTGTTTTGTATTAATGATAATCAGACATCGAATTTTGTAAATACAATGACAAAGACTCACGTTTTATGGTGGTGAATTTTGCGAGGCGATGCCAATATGGTGGCTTAACTTTCTTTTCCGCGCGATGCATTGTGGGTGTCATGTATCTTTATTTTTTTTTCTTTTTCGAAAATTTTCATCCCGTTTAATACTGTTGAAAACTTTTGAAAATACTGAAATATGTAGTTGAAAATAAGAATGAAACTAAAATAAGAATGATTTAGAGTAGCATAAAATTTTGACGGAAACAGCCGGGGTGCTCTTTGCTGCTGGACCCTGAAAGAAGACGGCGGTAGAAAGACGATGGCGGGTATTTGATGTAAGTAAGTATCACTATATATATATATATAAGCTGAATTTAAAGTCAATACTTCTACTGAACTAGCAATTGCATTTTTTGCAAAATACTCATTTGAAATGAGCTATCGCATGTATTGAATTTAGGCTCGACGGCGACGCGCAAGGTGGGCACTTTTCTTTTGAAGCAGTATGCATTTGAAAAATGTTATGTAAGCATCTAGCACATTTTTGTTGCTTCCGTAAAGTATTTCAGTGTTTTGAAATGAATTTATTTTTGAATGATCGTTTCATAATGGTCTCATCGCAGTCACTTCTGTCCGTGGCCCAACAGATCGGAAATTAAACAGAAAAAAACTTATCCGTAATATTGTTCTGTACTACTTACGCTACCGTGAATAGATCTAGGAATCTATCTGTGTAATATATCGATTTTACTTTAAAATTTCTGATCGGAGATAATTTATAAGTACCCCAAGGCCAGGGGAACTATACAGCTATGCCAATTGTAAGGTTTACATATGAAGTTTATATATATAGTTTTAGCTTAAATTTAGTTTTTGTCTTTCTGACATGATGGCTTGTTGATTCTGTTGAAGAGTTATGCATGTGAACAATTACAATATGAAGATTGGGAATGATGAAGATGTCAATTAACATCTGAATCCCGGAAAGTGTTTTAATGAAGATTAGGATAAACCTAGCAAAGTGTTATGTCCCAGTGTGAATGTGTAAAGTGTAAGGTCCCAGTGTGAATGTGTAAAGTGTAAGGTCCCAGTGTGAATGTGTAAAGTGTAATTGGTACAATTCTTATTATGCCTGAACTTTTAATATATGTACTGTATTTGTTCATCTCAGAAATTTCAGTATTATGTCAACTGCATCAACTGTCAGTTCAACACTTGATTCATCAATTTTACACAGCCCTTGGCTCAATGTTTGTCATTAATTGTCGACTGTTTTTAAGCGTTTTAGAGTTTTGTTTCCATGGTGAATGGAATGAAATGGGATAAATAGTCTAACCAATACCCCTCGAGAGCTTATTAAGACATTGCAGTATTATCACTTTGGGCCTTATTAAAAGTCAAATTGTAACTTTAAGAAACTCAAGTGACCGGAAGTACAACAATAAGATGTTGATAATCAATGAAATTGATTAATTGAGAGGACATTTTCTTAGTACAGTTAACCAGGCTTTGTAGTGGTTTGTTCAGAACTGTAGTTCTGGTTAAGTAACCATTAATTATGTCCTTTCAGCTACGATGATGTACATTTTTGAAATACCTCTACTGTAGCTAAATGAGGCATTTGTAATAGACATAGTCAAAGTTAATTTTGTGATAGACGTAGTCAAAGTTAATTTTAGGATCAGTTAGGACAGCTACTGTTTGTAACAGGCATGGGTTCAATTACATGATGATGTAATTAATTAAATTACAATTACAGTATGAAAATGGCATTGCCATTACAGGTATTTTCAAAATTAAATAACCATTACATGACGGTCCAATGTAATTAATTAAATTACACATTACTTTTCAAGTCAAAATGATTTTTGAAATACAAACGTCAAAATAAATTATCATACTGCACAGATTTATCACACAAATTTAATTTTATGATTCAATCTCTGTATGACCATGGTCAAGATATTATCATTTTGCTAGCTGTCCATCGCTTAATAATTTGACTTTCCTGAACGTCAAAGTAATTAATTACAGTATATTTAATATAGACTCCTATTGGGAAGACTATAAGCTTATACAGAAGTGTATATTTCTTGCACATAATCATAGCAATAATGAAATATAGTTATTTATTTCCCTTACTCTCTTTCAGCAAGTGGATGTCCCTGAAGAAATGAAATCTGGAATGGCAGAATGTATCTCTATTGATTCTTCTAAGTTGGAATTGGCCATGGTGACCAACAATGGACTTGAGGACCTTATGGTGGAGAAAAACGTCCTTCTTTCCGGCCTCCAATTAGATGTTGAAGATGATTAATCACTTGAGGAGATGCTAACAACCATATTGCCTTTTAATGTCACAGTACTCTCTAAAGGCGGCAGTATATTTACCATCACAAAAGAAGAATCAACAGATTGCGGAAACTAAAAAAATGTGGAAAAGATCATTGTATACTGCATTTGTAGTAAATTTGTATACAATCTTCAATTTACTTGAGTAGAAAGATTCACTAGTTATACCAAGTTTGTGTAGAAAGGATCACTGTATACAGAGTTTGTAGTGTACATAGAAAGGTTTACTTATTTTTTTTTTTCGAGTTTAGTGTATACAATATATAAAAAAAACTTTTTGTAGAAAAGATCACCGCATACTGAGTTTGTTGTTTACAAATGTGTAGAAAAGATCGCTGTATACCGAGTTTATAGTTTACAATTGTCTAGAAAAATCACTGTATACTGAACATAATACGACTTCTGTTTAAAACCTTCATTTAAACTTAGGCATGTATTTTTTTATGTATCTTAAAAGTCTACCTACAACAATTTTGTGTATGCAATCTTGTACTAGGATATTGACATGACAAGATTACATTGCTGATCAAAGCATGGAAAGAATACTGTATCTAAAAACTGAATAAAACAAGATATAAGCACCTGTATCATGTTTTTTTATTATTATTATTATTTTTCCATAATGTCTGTCCACATGGAATTTGTAAGCACTCTTGTGCATTCTTATACCACCAAAAGGGTGGGTAAACTGGAATCAGGTTGTCTATCAGTCCACCATCTGTTTGTCTGTCTGTAGACACATCTTGTCTGGACAACTCCAATGAAACTTTTCAGTAATATTCAGGACAATGTGTAGATGTGCATGCACCATTTTCCCTCGAAATATTGATTGCCATGGCAACTGGTCAATATAGATGGGTTTTGCTTGTCAGTCAACTTCTAAACCTGTGGACCAATTTCAACAAAACTTTGCAGGAATGTTAGGGAACGTGCACATGCCGCTGTGTTTCAGAGGATGTTTCTGTGCAAAAGGTCACCATGGGGAGATAGCTAAGGCTGTGGGTTTTGGGGGTATTAGTTATCATTTGGATTACAGTTTCAGTTATCCCTGGGCAATGTGGAGAGGATATAGTAATGATTTTGAGGATTGAATGTAGAGGTCACAGTACTTGCACAAGTACTATATGATTACCTTGTAAACGCATTGAGACTAAGACAGTATACCTTAATCAAATTTGGAACATGTATCCCTTATGAGAAGTTGGTTTCTTTAGAAATTCAGGGTCAGATGTCAAAGATCAAGGTCACAGTCAAAAAACGGAAAGATGCATGGGGGTGTTCTTTGCATTACCCTCATTTTTCTATAAAATTTCACAACCTAAAAGATCTTCACATCTTGCAAATTTCAAGGTTCAAGGTCACTGTTAGGATGTTAAAAAATGATAATACAAGAGGAATAAAATATCTTGCGACAAGTTTTAGAGAACAAAGAATATATAAACATGTCAACAGAATTGTAGAACCAGCAAAACAAGTGTAAAATTGAAACAAAGACAATATCTACAATAAGATTCCCTGAAAAAGTACAAGGAGAATAAGACCAGGTGTTCCAAAAGAATAGGCATCTTTTATTTTAAGTTATGGTGACATATCATGTTTGTTTTAGAAATTGGCACTCTTATGCAGTCATTTACAGACAATCTGGAAAATGAAGCTGCCCAATATTTGTATGTAGCATGTTATTTGCATGATGGTCAAACTAATGGTCTTAAACCAATAAGATACACAGGTTTTAAAGTGATAATATGGTGTCCAAGATCAACATTTCCTACAATGTATCCAAAGAAATAAACAACTTCCCTATCATTGCATCTTGGAGCCTACTTGGGACATGTATTACATAAGTAATACTACTATGCTTGTTATTTTTGATATCTGCTGGTCATTTTTTATGGGCTGCAATGATTTACTGCTTGCATATAGTTGGTTTCAGCAAGCTAATAACAAAGAATTTATTTTTTAATGGTCTTAGCATACCAGTACTTTCAGTACTTTGATTAATTTTCCATCCGGAAAATACAGAGAATAAAGTTTAAACCGATTAGACATTGTTAGTAAGTCTAACATTCAATGTTATCTAATACATCGGCCGCGTAGGCCTAGACGCATGTTAGAATTCTGCAAAGAGAGCTTCGTATCATGTAACAAATAAATACATTCTCAGGTGTCATCGACTGTGCAAAATTTGCAATGAAAATACCGGACAGGGCAGGCAGTGCATATATGCGATACATAATTTAGGCGCAAATCGTCACTATCATGAACAGACTTGCGTCTGTGCGCATGAATACATTACCTATTGAATTTTTCAGGTGGACTACTTTTTAGGGGCCATTTCCTCTTAATCGCGAACTTCCTGTTGATTTCATCGGAAATCCAGCTTCATCGAGGAATTTAGAGCATCAAAATGGGTGAACGGGAAGAATTAGTATACAAAAGTAAATTGGCTGAACAGGCCGAGAGATATGAAGGTAAAGAATGTTCGGAGGGATTTGTTGAATGTCATAACTAGGAGCGACATGATGAAACCTAGTCCTCCGCCTAGCGACAGAATATATAGAAATGCTTGTCAAATATGACGCTGAAAATCGTTTATTTGTACCCATTGTGTCATTCCAACATTTTCGTTATTAGCATTCATTGTACTGTTCTCGAAACAAATGTCTAAAATTGGTGTGTCCATGAATATTATTACGGTAACTGACAGTCACCATCTTTAATGAGTATACGAACTGTCATTCATGAATTTAGAAAACAAATTCGGATAATAAACATTTAAGATTGTTCATTTTCATATGTATCATTGTCTTGTAGCGGGGTGAACATATTCTAAGTAATCGGCGATACATTTCTGTTTATTGACTTGGAAAATCACAATATACAAAGGTAAATCGAAAGGGGGCAGGGGGTGCTGGAATGGGAAGGGCACTTGCAGTAGGTCCTAATACACACATTCCCGCATATTTTCTTTTAATTGCTCTCGATCTCAGTACTTCTAAAATCCGTCATTTCTTGTCCCCGTGAATATTTTATTTTGTATCGTCGAACGAATTGAACGCTGTTGACTTTGTGTAAAATCATGCTCTGACTCATCCTTCAAATATGCGATAGTTCTTCGGTCGGGCTGTTATCGCATTATTCCGTCACTTCGATCCTGCTTCCGTAGCCAGTTGAAAACTTATGTTTTATAGGAAGAAAATGTGTTTAAGATTTAAATATCGTAATAACATTCTCTTCCATCTGTTGTATATATGTGTAGATCCATATCTGGGTTAGCAGTAGGAAAAATGTCGTAAGCAAAATAAAATTGCAAGTAATTTAAATGCATTTTTCTTCAGTAACATTTTTCATCATGTCTAGAGCTATTGTTAGAAAATAAATACTTAATAAATAGATAATAAAAGAAAGTAGTTGTTGACAATTACTTTTCCTTCATGCAAGGAAGATGGTAATGTTGAGAAAAAGCAGATGCCAGTTAACTAGGGACATTGTAAAGCTGACTAAAGCAGACACCCAATAACATAATCTTGGTATCTTTGCAAAATTAAGAAATGTTACGTACACCATTGAAGAAATGTATAGCTTTGGAATTTCATTCTATGTCTTGTATGCGTTTGTTCTTCAAACATCAGGGCTAGAAAAAAAGATTTTCAGCTACTTGTCCGTCAGGCAAGTGAAACTTGAAATTCGCTTGCCCGAATCCAATATTCACTCACCGGAAGAAAAAAAGGCAGCAAAACATAAATTAAGGAACACAAATCTTATTATCAATTTCTATATCAAATGTTTGTACAAAACACTTGCTTTTATTGTTTTACTCATATCTAATTCACTGTTAACGCGAGCGAGAACATCAGCTTTTTGACAGTTACTACGTACACAAAAAACAACCTTGTTTACAACATTTGTGGTGATGTAATAGGTTTTCGTGTAGTCTTGATCAGCCCAAGTCTTGACACGTGGTGTAAACAAGGATACTACATCAATGTATTTGATCGACTATCTGTGGATTTAAATTAGTTTTAAGAGTGTTTAAGTTGATAAACGTCAATTATTATGGAATATTCAAGTCAGAACTACAAATTTAACTTGCCTGCAGGACAAGCAGCTGAAACAAATCACTCACTGGCAAGTAGCTTTGACTCGTCTAGACGAGCAGACGAGTGGATTTTTCTAACCCTGAACATCAAATTATCATAATTGCTATAAACATTGATGGTTCTGGATATGAAAGGGTTACATTGCTTGCTTTTTGTTCTTGACCGGCATTTCCACTACAGAAATATCATTTTCAGCAGTGATGATAGTGAAAATTTAGCCATGTTATGTTTTCCAAGTTATTCAAACAGTACTAATTTCCTAATAGATTTTTTGGTTTCTGTATAATATATACTGGACTGATTGCATTTTAGCATTCCGATAAGGTTCTGTGAAATGGTTTTGTTTTGAATAAATATTCAAGCAACACTGCATTTAACTCCTGCTATATTCATGACATCTCGAGTTGTTACAGTAACGCTGCTTGCTTTTCTTTGTGGTGTCTCGAGACATCACAAAACATGAATGTGTAACTTTTCAGTTAGGCATGGTTGTGTGTAGAAATTGGTGAACTCCAATTCTGCTTTCGATTTTTGAGGGAGGCAAGTATGACAAGAAATGCAAAATTCAAATGATAAAAACTATAAAGATACATATAACTGAGTTTATTGTCACGATAAAACAGGAATATGCAGAGATGCTGAAAACTTTCAGACATTCTGTCAGTCCAGATGAAAATCTGTCGGTCTGAACAAAAATATATGAATATTGTGATAATTTTTTAAAAATTGCTGCGATAATATAAGATAAACTCCATTTTGATATTTTCATTACATTGAATCATTTTCTGTTTCAACTTCATAAACAAATTCTATAATCATTTGTCATTCTCTCTTTTGTCCTGCAGTTCACAGTCATTCTCACTTTCACTCTCACATTCATTCTGTGACTCCCTATCCCTCTCTATTTCATTCTCTTGAACTATTTCACTCTCCTTTTGATAAACATTTAAATCTTCTTGTACTATCTGCACCATCTGTTTCCTCTTGTCTACCACTTTTCTTCCTCTTTTAGTACATGTGCCTTCTCTGTCCCTTAGGTGAAATCTGAAGAAAAAATAATTTGATATATCATGTTGTGATTATACACATGGTAGCCAGTCATAATTTACAAGCAGTGAGCACTGATACAAAACATGTAAATAGATACATCTTGATCATGAAGAAATTGAATACAAATTACATACCATCCGTCAATTGCTGATTTTCAGGCCTCGACGTTAACTGTTTTTTAGTACTTGCCAAGCTGGGCAAGTGCTATTAAATTTCAACATGCCCGTTGCCGAAATTAACTTGACCATACAAATGATATTGAATGATTAAGTTTTTTCTCTAGTGTAAACATTGCACTATATGTTTGAATAAAAAAAGAGACTATCTTATGTTCCTGTCGATTGCCTTTTACTTACAGTCTCTTAAAAGGTAATGAAGTAACAAGTAACAACTAGGCCTTCGTGAGTGTTTAATAGCCAAGTTTTCAAATTTATGAAATGGTCGTTTGATCATACTGTATATCTTTTTTGCTTATCGCCAACATTGTGGCCAGCATGCCTTTTCCTAGTAAACCAAAATTTATGTAACGACATACTGCATACTTGCTTCATAGTCAACAGCGAAATACAATATTTCTACCGGACTTTGATCACGTATCTGGCTGAATGTTTTATGCTTGCCCGATCAAATTACTGGTAAAATCATGTTGTTTGACACCAATTTTTACTTGCCCGGGCAATCGGGCAACCGTTAACGTCGAGCCCTGACTTTGGATCAAACTCCGATACTGACAGACTCTCCAGTCGTACTAACGTGGCATTGTTGAGGTGGCGCTCAGTTAGTTTTAATTAACTTCATTTGATTGAAACTAGATTCATTTGACACACTTGTAGGGGGGGAGGCTATGAAGAAGGTCCATCACATGCAGAATGTTATCCACACCTCTATTCCGAAATGTTCTGTGTATACCCCCCCCACCCCCCCCCCCAGTCAGAATCCTTGGAGCCAAATCTTAAATAAAATGTAAAATCCATGTTTAACACTATGTAATTCATAGTCTCTAATCAAGGCATTCAAGTGTAAAGCAGCAAATTTATTATCTATATGGTATACCTTACCTCTTGTACAAAGTCTTTTGAGTAGTGCCCATTCTCTTTGTATGTTTGTCACATCCACTCCAGCCTTTTGGAGTGTTTCTTTAAAATGGCTGACAATCACATTTACTTGCTCTACACCATAATCTGTGTAATAAAGTGACATGCTTATGATGATTTCAGAGTAACTTACATTTGGTCTATTCAACAATTTAAAATAATTGAATTATAAAAGAGAATTGAAAATTCATCTTCAGTTCAGACAGTTTTGTAGCAAACATTACTTTATTCTAATTTAGTATATACATGATCAAATGAACTTTTGTCCATCTTTAAGTTTTACATTAAGTCATAATAAAAGATATTTGTTAATTGAATACATTGAACATTTTGTTTCAAATCAAGTTTTTAAGTTAATATGAAATTTTATAACTACCTGAGCATCAATGATCATGTTATTCATCCTGAAATATTTATGAGTAACATATGCAATTCAACGAAAACATCAAAGAAAGCAAGTAAAAAACAGGAACAATCTAGAACTGAATAACAACATGCAAAATTGAATCAACTTCAGAATTTGTGAACAATTTTAAAGATATGAACATGATAATTAATCGTATCATTTATGTAACCTGAATAATCTTTGGATGGCCAGTTGTTTAGGCAACCAATGGAAGTGGCATCAAACAATTCTCCTTCTAAATCCCTATATCTGTAATGTTTGGTAAAAAGTAGTGCCTGTTAACACAATTATTCCATATAAATGGCGTTGATAAATGATAAAATTTTGATCTTAATTGACCTAAATAATACAGCATAATGTAAAAAAAAAATAGTAATAAAGAGTGTAGTTTTTCTTGCCTTTAGCACTAGTTTGAAGAGTTCTGATGATCTGCAATTTTATTTTTGTCTTTGTCTGAATAACTCCTATTATAAGGCCAAATTTTAGGGACTTGTCAGAGCATTCGGTTGGATACAAACTTTAAGGAGTCAATGACTCAACTCTTGAATCCTGATAATTAATCGAAATACTGCCTGTCCATATGTCAAACCTGGAGATTAAAAAATTTCATAAGTTTAAATATTTCAGCATTAATTTCATTTGATTTGGGTTGGTTTTTATTAAATGAATTGAAATTAAAAGAAATCAAATTTTGTCTATTTCAAACTAATCTAGAAAGATCACTTCAAATGTTTCACTACAGGCCTATGACCAGTGTGGATAGTACTAGCACTGGCGTATATAGTGTATGAGATGGTATGGAACCATCAGTGCTATAATCACACCACACTGGTCATTTGTCTGATGAAGGTGACCGTGTAGTCGTAAGAACTTCTATTCTATTGACATTACCAACCTGAAGAAAATGTTTCAAAATATTTTGCTGTGTATTTCACCTGAGGTTAATAAATGCCCTGCCTGTACATGGTCGACATTCAGGCAATGTTTCATAAACTCTACAACAGTGCAAAAGTTACAAATCATGTACTGATGAAGATAAATATTTTTACTACTAACTTGCACATGTGTCAAGCAATTAAGTGCTTTAGATGAAATATTTCGAACTTGTATTCCCTAAACAATTTTGCTTTTCAGCATATTTACAATGGCTGCCACAATACAGAATCTTTCTAGAATTCTCCTTGTTAACATACCAAAAAGTAAACTGTTGATGAGATTCTTGAAAAATGAATTAATCCATTTACTTTTCTTTCAAATAGATATGGTAAAGTTTATGAAGACGGTGGCATATATGGATCCACTTATGTCGATAGAAGAACGTAACTTGTTCTCGGTTGCCTACAAAAATGTTATTGGAGCTAAAAGAGCATCATGGAGAATATTACAAGGAAATGAAGGAAGTGATAAAAATGATAAAAATGAAAAAAATGAAAAAGTCCAGGAAAAGAAATGCAAAGCGATTTACCAAAATAAGGTTTGTAGAGAGATGTTTCGGTCATATTTGGTGTAACTTAGTCATGAAGAAACTTGTCATTGTCAGAATAATTTCTTTTCTTTCCCATTTTTTTTTAAAAGAAATTATAAACAATAATATTCCCTTATGAATTTAAGCTTAAAATATGTTAAGTAACATCAAGTGTGGAGATGCATCTTATTTTTCATGAGAAAAACTTTATTTTCCATCAAGGTAAACTATCCATCGTAATAGTTCAAGCTGAGGTGACCCTGACAGTACTGAGCATGTAGAAATATTTATATGCAAATTGTGTTGTTGATGTATTCAGAAACATAAAATAATTCAAATAATAAACAATTACAATAAAATCAGGAATTGGAAAGACGGTAGATAATATTGCGAAAATTGTGCTTTAATACTAGGTCATGTATGAGATTTGGATTTAGTAGATAGCTAGATCATCATATGTATGCAACCATTGAAAACACCAGAACATATAAATAAAACATAGAAAACTGTGGCCTTATTTAGTATTTCAGTATGATTTGATTCTAAATTTGTATCCATCTGTATTTTGTAAAAGGCAAATGTGAATGTTTGTATTTTTTTCATTAAACAGGTTGAGGGGGAACTGAAACATATCTGCCATGAAGTGTTAGATATTTTAACAACAATCTTGGGAAAGGAAGATTCTAATGCTTCAGAATCCAAAGTGTTCTACTATAAAATGTAAGTACTCTTTTCACTAACCACTTTGAAAATGCTACAAAAAACATGTCTTTTTACAGAGAAGTTTATTTCACTTACAATTGTTGTACAATGTAGCATGCAAGAACAACCTTTACCACTGTGAACAGCATGGTTCATGTTGATGCAATAGCTTTCGCTATTGTTTGTATGTAGATATACATTAAAGTATTTGTCGTCTGTGTTGGATACAAAACTTTTCAAAAGCAAAAGCAGATCTTGTAGTTGTATTTTTATGTACAACTTTATATTTGGTTTTGAAACAATTGTATCTGGAAGGAAAATAAACAGTGAGATTTGTATAAAGCCCCTCCTCAAACACATCTTATACAGTACACACTTAGGCCTATTGCTATTAAATGGCCAGACCCGACTTGCCACCATGTTTAATTCGCATATTTCATGTACAGGTGTATATATAATATTCATTAGATAATTTTGTACATCAAAAATATGTATAATGGTATAGAGATTGTGAAAATCAGACTGTTCACTCGGTGTTGAATTATCGCTTTTTAATGTCTGTAGTGAGTATGTAGTAGCATTTAATAGATTATACATAATGGAAGATTCAATGTTGTCACACGGTGAAATATTCACACTGGAAGGTTTTAATTGGGGGAATAGTAAAATTTGAATATTGTTGCATGCAATATTATTTGATAGATAATAGTGTTATATTCTGTGATTGATAATGTGTAATTCCCCTCGAAGATTTGAAAAACAAAAGTAAAAGTGATTTTAAATGTTCAGGTGATGGTGGTGGGGGGAATTGCTTTGAATGAAGCTCTGTAGCAGCTTATGAATTTATCTGGAGACTGCAAAGTTATTCTGTGGTATTGTTGCAGACAGTCTGTTGGATAGTGTTGTTTGGATGCAATAAAGAGTTTTATCCTTTTTACTTTTAGAATTTATCTATATTGCAAATTAAATTGATTTTATTTCAGGCAAGTGACATTTTTAAATAAATAAAGCAACTGTATAGTTTTGATCTAGGGAGCAGTGGTCAAACTGCTTTGTTTTTTGCTGTACAACTGAACTGCTAAGTTTATACACATTAATTACTCATTAGCTATGTTTAAAAGAACACTGACAACCACATGCACAGACAAAGTAACACCCTTTGATTATGCAGGGGCTCAGGAAATTCACCCAAATTACAAATTGCAGACAAATTGACAGTGTATCACATGATGAGGCTCTAGAAAGGATCCTGAAGAATAACATTGCTTTACAGATTCTATCGGTTTCTTTGTTTTGTTGAATAAGATACAAGAGAACAACAACAAAATTTACAAAACTGATTATTCATTAGACTGGAACCAGTCAGTGGTACGAAAAAATATCCTTTTTGTTGCTAGTTTATTTTCTTTTTATACTTCATATTTGCACATGCCTGCATGTAGTTCTATGTATATTATCTTGTCTGCTACACAAAGTCTTATTTTGAAAGATAACAAAGATTAAAGATTATGGTTGAAACGGTCATTTTACCAATTTTCAAGCATCTGAAATAAATTTATTTTACTTCGTCTTATTGTGATCCAATGGGTCAGGATGACTGATGCTTATTGATTCATCTGTTATCATCTACCACATGTAACGTCAACTTTTGTTTAAACATCTCCTTTTTGAAAGTAGAAAAACAGATTTGAGTGAAGTTTTGTCTGAAATATCCCTTAGAAAAGCATTTATTTTGAAAACCTGAAGGTGAGGAGACCCAAGATAGAAAGGGGAAGTTTTAAGTGTTTCTTTAAAATGTGACTCCTGCTAAAGAGAGTGCAGATGGTTAAAAAATAAAGATTATTACCATTGGCTGAAGATATTTATTTAAACAAAGTTAATGCAACTTAGCTATGTAGACAGTCAGTTGGAAGGCTTAGCATAGATTTGAACCAAATTTGGTTGAAAATCTCATCGAGGCAATGCAATTAAGGAACAGAGAAATACATTTTGAAGTACCCTTTAGCAGGGTAAGTGGCATCACATAAACTCGCCATATTGAAATTTTCTTCTTGACGGCAAAATATTCAGACAATGCCCAACCAAGAAATAAGAGAATCACATGATGCTATTATTACTTGCATTCTAATGCTTCAGGTTTTGGAGGTTTGGTTTAAAATCTATCATTTTGAACAGTATTAAGAACAAATACCATACTTGGTCTGAACATTTGGAGAAGATCAACATATAAATACAATTGAAATTTGTGTCACTATTGGAGCATCTGGATGGGAAGTAGATGGAAGAAAGTAAGACCCCTATTGAATGTATTGCAGATCTAGTTCACGATATGACTATTAACAAATGTTTTTGCTACTAACTAAACATACTGCCACACTTTTAAATCACTGCTGACCAATATTGACCTTGTTATTTTACTACTTGACAACCTTTCAATATTTCATCCGCATTACCTTCACTGCTTGACCGCATCTTTCCAATATTGGCCACTACACTGTTTAACCAACGCACCACTTGATCTCTACGGACCAATGTACTGCCTAACTTAAGGTTCTACTAGATCACTACTGACCAATATTTATTGCTCTCTTCACTTTCTAACCCAGGTGTCGCTGGACAACTACTGAACAATATTATTGCTCATTACACTGCCTAAATGCACAACTGGACCCATTCTGACCAATATTGGCCACTGCACTGTCTAAGGTACCACTGCCACTGAGCCATAACTGATAAATATCATTAAGGTGCCACTGGACCACTAGTAATATTGCCCACTACACTTTCACATCAAGATACATTTGACCAGTGTTAACCACTATTCTGCCTAAATGCACTACTGGACCCTTATGGACCAAAAGAGCCCACAACACTGCCTAAAAAGGTGTTAATGGCCCACCTTGACCAAAATTGCTTACTACACTGACTAAAGAAAGTGTTACTGGACCCTTACTGACCAATGTTGACTGCTCTGTCTAACCAAAGTATTACCAGACCACTTGTAACCAATATTGGCCACTACACTGCCTGAAGATGGCACCACTGGACCTTTACTAACAAATTGATATTGACCAATACACTGTTACCTGTCCTGACATCTTAGGTCTCATGATCCTTTTTTGTGGTGCCTCAATTTCTTCTGAAACACTCCCCAACCGATTTTACAAAAATCTTCCTTGGCTAATAAAGACACACCAAAATTGCAAATCATATGGTCCACAACCCCAAGGGGTCTGGGAGTAAGGCCAAATTGATTGAAATTACAAAAATCTTCCTCTCAAAACCAGAAAAAAAAAATCAGATACTCATAATGGATGGAATTCTCTTAAAGTCTTAGTATGGGTCAGCAGTGAATGTTATGCACTTTGAACATTTGCAATATGTGTACAAAATGATCTTGCTATTTTTAATAAAATCATTTCCTGTTACATATTACAAGAAATATTGTAAGTCATATGACTCTTTAAGACCCTTCACCTCTTGTTAACTGAATAGTTCTTTTACCACTTAAGTTCAAATGCTATTCTTTACATCATCTTGACCACTGATGGTAATTCATTGGCTGCTAATGACAAGGGTATGACCACTATTATCAGTTACATGTACTTGGACTATTACTGACAACCACTTTTTTGCCATCCTGGCAATGTTTTTCAAATCATAGGGATTGAGTAAAAAGTATATGGCATTTTCAAAGTGATGACTGCCAACAAAATGTTGTTGTTCCACCGATACTTAACATGTTCACTGCCTAAAAGCTTAGAAAGTGGATGATTGTCTAGACTCATTGAATTTCTTCTTGATATGTCATAAAATCAATTATGGTAACATAAAAAATGTGATCGTGTAATTGAAAACTAATATTGACAACAAACTTGCATTTACATTTTTAAATAATATCGTGAAAATATACGGATATACTAAGTCGTGCAACTGCATAGCTGCAGAGGAGAAAGAGCCAGTTTGGATTACAAACATACGGAAGAATTTCTTTGAAAATACTTTGTTGATAAGGTAAGTATATGATTAGTTTCACAATGATGTAATGAAGACTTTAATGGTTGAGCTTCTCCTGTTAGCAAAAGTTGAAATATATATTGGGCTTGAGCATATAATTCTTTTCCAAATATTCTGTTCCAAATAAGTACATGTTCTGAATTTTAAAGAGTCTAGCTTTGCTAAGGGAAAAGCTTAGTCTTTACTGTCCAACTACATCATGGATCAGTGTGTGCCTATAAGAATGCTTAAGACATGATGACAATGTTAATTTTGCTTCATACATTTCCTTTGGGATTTTAGTGATACAAAATTGTAGCTTACTGTATTTATCCAGCAATAAGCCTAAAGGGTCAAAATATTATTAAAATTCAGAGCTAGGGTTTATGACAGGACAATGAAGCTACATTGGTCCCAGATATTACTTTAAAGTAATTTATATTAGTGGGCTTATTACCTGATAAATATGATGTATATTTAGCAAATATGTTTGTGGTTCTAAAAATACTGTTGTATTGGTATGCTATTGTATTTTAACTATTGCATAATTAACAACAGTTGTGCACATACAGGTACCTGCTTCAGGATTTGTCTTGTTTCTGTGACATTTTGTTCATATATTACTGAAATATTTAGACAAAATGCTCAATTTTAAAAAGACTTTTTTCTCCAGTTTTTCTTTCAATGCAATAATACTTCATTACAATATGCTTCAGCATGCAAAGGAAATGCTAGGGAATTAATGAAAAAAAAGACCAACTCCTGAAGGCAATGTAGTATACATGTATGCACTGGACAAGATCCATTCTGTAATTTTACAAATTTCTGATAAATCCAAATAACCACCTTTGTAGTTAGTTGGATATTATATAGCAAAATTTCTATATAAAGGCATACATTTTTTAAAGGAAACAAGCTGATATACTAGAGATGATAAAAAGCTGATAAAGCCACTGCTATTTACATGTCATTTTTGATAGTGTTGATGATCAACCCAACCCCCACCCCAACATTACATGTTC